ATCTTAAAGAATTAGATCCAAGAAAGTATGTATTTTATAATATTTATAAAATAATATAAATTTCTAAAATTTCTAAAATTTCTAAATTCTAAAATTTCTAATAGATGGATTGAAATTCATACAAAAAGTCTAAAATTTACATATAACTTTGACGATTACCCAAATACTTTGTATAATATAATATTTATCACATTCGCATGGTCATGTCTAGCATTTTTAGCAATGAAATTGGTTAACCGAGATAAACAAAAATAATCATATAGATTCTCATATAAAACTTTAATTTAATTTTTTCCCCGTTTTTTCGGCTTGTTTTAAATTATTTAATATGTATAAAGTTATTTAAACGTGAAATAGGGTGCATTTATTATAGAGATAAATTTTTTGTGTTATTGGTGGAGTATAGCATTTTAATTTTAATCATATAGCTTATTATTAAATTCAATTTTGTCACTATAATTGAAATTTTGGGCGAACTTATACAATAAAATAAACAAACGAGTAATAATTTAATTTTTTCATAGCAAATCAGTTGGAATTGCGAGCCTTTATAAGTAATATTAAAAATATGAATAAATTTTTTTTTATAATATTTATATGAAAAAAGTTCTTTCTGAATTTATCGCAAACAGATTGAGGGTTAAATGCTTAAATACAAGCTTTTATTATTTTAATAGATTTGTTTGTTATAAATTTTGTAGTTTCTCAAATGTCATGTGATAAAAAATATTGAGTGGAACTATATTTCGTAAAAAAATCAAATATTTGTAGAAACCTATCATCAAAAAACATTAACTCTTTCATAGTGTGTCATTTTTGTTTTTACTCTTATTAAGTGAATCAACAAAAGGCAAATATGATATTCATATATTGTATCTACGCAGGTATTTAAAGAATATATTAATATATGATCAAAGTAATATTTATATAAATTTCGAGACTTTTAGTTGATACTTTTATTAAGCAATATAATTTTTTTTTATTATTTTATAATTTGACAATATTTAGAGACTATTTGTATAAATTTAAATTTTGTAGAAATTATATTAAATACTTGAATTAAAAAGTTCTTTTATATAATAAAAATTTTAATTGGTATAATTAAAAATAATCATGTACGGATCGGCAATGAAATAAGTGATGATAATAATATAATAATACTTTTAATATCAAACGATTATTAGAAACAAAAAATCATTAACACGATTTAAAAAGAGATTTCAAGAAATCATTTCAATTGAACACAAATCTCGTACTACGATTAAAAGATATAGATAAATTTTTAATACAAGATTATGAAACTTCGTGTGATAATGTTGGTAACATATTAGTAATAGTAAAAGAGGAAATAGTTCATAATTCTAAATCAATAATGGGAGGATTTTCACCACAACTCTTTATAATTCATCCAGAAGAATCTAATATGGAAATTACGCTAATTAGCAGAACACGAAAAGATGCTAAATAGGAAATAATGTATACCCGAAACAAGCCATTTTTTTTTTTTGTTTCAAAAAATTAATTATTTAATTATTAGAATAAGCGCCTAATAAAACAAGGGAAACCATTATATATATTAATTGATGTCATCATTTTATAAATTATTTAATATATGATAATAAATTTAAAAAGTAAACAATACACGAGCATTTATGTTACAATAATATTAATAATTTTTTTAAAAAAAGGCTAACAAAAAAAGTCTAACAATTAACTCAAAGAACCGTGTAACAAAGAGACTTATTTGAAAAGTATAAAGTAAACCATTTTTTCTCTGATTTTTTTTTTTATTACAAGAATAAAAAGTTTACTTTAATCAGGTTAACAAAATTAAATAGAGAAAAAAAATATGAATACTTATAGATAATATTATATTATAATTACAACAACTATTTATAATTATAGAATAAAGATTATTAACTAAATAATAGATCAAAATTTTATCAACAAAAAAAAAATATATATATATTTTAAAAATGATAAAAAGGAAATCAATTATTTTATCAAAAAGGATGATAATAATTTGTTTATTGGGAATTTTTTTATTTCCAAATAAAATATCATGTCAACAAAAATCTATTACCACCATCACATCAATTCCTGAGACGATTCCTACAACAGTTCCTACGGAATCAATTCCAATAGCAGCTGATGTACCTGGACAAAATGCATCTATTTACGAAACTTATTTAGATCCTCGGGTTTATGCTGCTTTAATCTCAACGCAACCTGCCATACCAGACGATGGAACTAAGGTAAAGAAAAAAAAATGATACGATAATAACTCACGTGTATCATTTGACCAATGATCAAAAGCGTACCAAATTATGATAAAATTATTTTATTTTAATAATAATAAAACAAAATAATAATATTCTTTCCAGCCTACTGATAAATGCGTTTACGTTTCCACACCACGTCCTAACGAAAATAAAAGCGTCAGTTGGGACTGCGAAGCTGGGTAAATAAAGAATTAAAGATTTCCGATATTTAAAATTTAGTTTATTATTTTTATTTAATAACTTCTTTATTATTCCCTTACAGATATTATTGTCTCGGTTCGAGTAACTCTTCAAAATTCCCATGTACTGATGGATTCTATTGTCCAGAAAATAGTTAGTATAAATTATTATTTTTTATCTTACGCTCATAAATTTAGTAAATAACAAATTCTAAATATAAATATAAAAAACTTGAAATTAAATCCAATATATCTAAATAGGTGGTATGTATTATGAAAATTTTTTCTTGATCTAAATTTCTCGTACCGCTCGTTAAATAACTTTACTAAATATTTTTTTGTTTTTATATAAAATAGCACAGCCCAATTACTGCTGTGAAGGTTATTATTGTGAAAATCCAAAAACAATCAAACTTTGCCCTGAAGGTAAAGAATAATTTAATAAATAGACTTTTCATTTTTTATTTTTATTTTTTTTTAATTTATATACAATAATTTATAATAATTTATAATAATTTATAATATTTTATATAATAGGTTATTTCTGCCCCATAGGTAAGAAAAATGTTTGATCAGGTCTTTCTGCGTCTTTCTTTGCGAGTTCTTTTTATTCATATTTTTTTTTTAAAAAAAATATAGGAACCGTTAATCCATTATCTTGTCATTATATGGCTTTTTGTCCACCCGGATCATCATTTGCCAATAAATATTTAGTTGGAGTTTTAGTAGCAGCCATAATATTATTGATCTTAATATTATTCCAAATCAAAAAGAAAGCAGATTATGAAAAGAATAAAAAATATAAGAGATTATTAGTAGAACCCAGATTTGAAAATAGTGAAAGAACATTAGATCGCGTTTCACAAACATTTGATATTGAATTTGAAGATTTAAGTTTAGTTTTACCTTCTGGTATCGAAATTATAAAGGTATTTTTTTATTTTTTTTTTTAATTTAATTAATATTTCATTATATTCATATTACTGCTTTTTCTTTCTTTCTTTCTTTTTTTTAATAATTCAAACTAAAATTATTTTTTTAAGGGAGTTTCAGGATCACTTAAACATGGTAGAACATGTGCGATCATGGGACCATCTGGTTTGTTATTTAAATTTCTTTAAAATATTAAAAAAACAATTGTTAATATTTTTAATATAATTTATATATAACCTTATTTATATTTAGGTGCTGGTAAAACTACATTAGTTTCCCTTTTGACAGGAAAAGTAAGAAAAACCAATGGAAGAATAAAAGGTATATAATATATACTCAATTATACTTAATTATACTCAATTATAATCATTTATAGTTAATATAAATTAATAATGGTGCGTTTACTATATAGTTAATGGATTTTCAAGGTCTCTAAGCAATTACAGAAAACTTATTGGATTCGTACCTCAAGAAGGTTAATTGATAATATTCATTTCATATCATATCCATTTTTTAATTAAGAGAGAAAAAAAATTAAATATTAATATTATTTTTAATTTAATTTTTAATTTAGATATAATGCTCAGAGAGCTAACGATACGTGAAATTTTGGTGGTATGTTAATCTTTTATCTAATATCTAGAATTAATTTATTTAAATTTATTAAAGTTTATTTTTAT